TTTTCAATAAAATTAATTTATTAGATTCCCATTGTATTTATAAATATTATAAATAAACGTACAAGGTGTTAAAAAGTCTTATTCTAAAATGTAAGTTCTAAAAAGATGCTTTATAGGGTGAGTGACTACAAAAACGGTGGGGGAGCTAGGAAAGACTCAAGCCGTTTTAAAAGTTCTAGAATCAACTGTTGAGCTCAAACAACGATAAGAGAACAGTGCCAATGGCTTTGGATGTAGTATGATAAGCACCTTTACTGAAATCTGAGTCATTATCATATCAGGTAGGAGAGTAAGCAATGATGTGCAGTGGTCAAAATGAGCCAGTGGCCAATGTAACTAATATTTCATTTCTTCAGTTTTTAGGCAATCAAGCTAAAAGATGTTAAAAAGGCAAAGCGAAGAAAAGATACACCACGGAGTATGTAGCTTGGTACAGAATTCCACAAGAATTGACTATCATTGGTAAGCAGTTACGCCTCTTGACTAGCATAAGATAGAAGGAAATTCCTTTCACTTGTGGTGAGTGTTTGTCACCTAATGAGTGGCAGATGGTGCTACATGGAGTAGAATTAAAAAATTTGAGCTAGGTACTCAAATTGAACACCAAGTCGTAGAAGTAATATTGATTTATAATAAGTTATTGTAACATACCCTAAATAAAATCATACCTTAGACAGTAAGAGAATTTTCTTGTTTAATGTTGCATTAACAATTGATATTACCAAATGTCTAGCATTTGAGATTTATCAAATTTTGTAGCATGTCCTGGACATAAGAGCTTGTGTTAGTTCACATAAAGAGTCTCATATAAAGTGAATGAAAAAGTTCTAGTCTTATGTAGCCTTACACAGGATTTTCAATTGTTGCTCTTTCTATAGAAAATATATCACAATAGCCCTAGTAATAACAATTATTTGACTTTCATACAATATTTCAATAATAATATTTGAAATATCTGTAGGCTTCATAAAATAAATACATTAATTTGTTTTATCAACTAAAAGAACTTGCTCCTTAGTGCTAAAGAAGTTGTAAGCCAAATTTAGAGACAGATTACTTACATTATCACTACAACTTAAGTTCTATGCGTGTACATGGGTTAATAGGTTTTAAATACAAGTTTCATCAAGCCGTTTGTTAATGATCCTTGCTTACAAGTAAAATACAGTTGATAATTTTATTTTTAAATAAATAAACATTTATTATGCCCTGTAGTATACAACGTACGGTATGTAATAAAATTTTACTCTAGAAAGCCACTCCATCACTTCCTAGCGTAAACCGTCAGTGATATGTTTATTTTACATAATAGTATAAGTGAAACGACTAAAGTTGTATGAAAGAAAAATAAATTTATCGCTTTAATATGCTATAAATGTCCAATATTTTTTTTACACTTCCTAAAAGTTGTATTAAAAAAAAGCTGTGTTTTGTTATGTAAAAGGTGTGATGAATGATTTAAATACACGTCTTACATATAATTTTTTTTACCAACCTATAAATTTAACTCAGATAGCCACTCTCAGTTAAACCAAGTGCTTGAGCCTTACTAGTTTAAAGTCGATTGTGTTATTTGTCATTTTCAGGCATTACATTTAACTTGGTTTGATAAAAGACCGTTGGCAATCTAAGAACACAAAAATATAAAAGTCTGTCTAGGGGTATATACATAAAAAAATAATGTATAAGATCGAACATTAAAATGTTTTAACAAATAGTTAAAGAAAACAACGTCTGTTTTTAAAGTACTTATTCATGTTATATACATATTTACTTTTGTTCACTTGCACTTTCTTATATATTTTAAGAAAAACAATTGTCATGTTGTTCTTGAAGAACCACAATAATAAGTCGGTCAAAGGGATTTTATTATTTTTGAGCTGTTAAAAAAATGTAAATGCACGTTAATATACCAGATTAAAATTTCTTTGAAATTCAGATGATTCACAAATACTCTCTGAAGACTATCAAAACCAATTCAAACAAAAGCTTCATTTGCTTACTTCGTATGCTTGTACTTTAGTCTATTTTAAATAACTGTTTGCACCAGGAAGTAATGCTGGGACAGCAATTCTCACAATTAGAAATCGGGATCAGTGGGTTATTAAATCACCACGTTGCTTAAAACTATGTACAAATTTGTTAACATTAATTTAGTTGCAAATTCTCACTATGAGAGAAGCGTTCTCAACAGTGGCCATGAGCTGACTAACTGTTCCACAGAACAGTTGAATTCAAAAGTCAAAAGCTTGTTAGGTCTGTATATAATACAGTGGAAATAGCTATCGGTTAAGAAAAGATAAACATAAGATTGATACAGGCAGAAGTCTTTGTTTCGATTTTGCACGTAAAGAGATAGTAGAGAAAAGTGTTAGTATTGTAAGAAGAAAGATGTTAGTATAATTGTAGCGCAATAAATATAACGTCAAAACTGAAAATAACAAAACAGCATCTACAAATGTATTTTCTTACCAAGGGCTAAAAGTGCAGCAGTTGTTTAGCTGTTACGGGTACACTGTGCGCCCATGTAATAACTTTAGGCTCACGCACAGAACGTGCTTTACTGGAAGCAAAGTGTGCCCATGGCTTATGTGAAGTTGAAGAAAATTTTTTAACTGTAGCACCAATAATGTAAATCAAATTATAAAATCTGAAAAAAATTATGTTTTTATAGAAGTTAATACAATTTATCATGTTATGGAGATTTTTTCCTCAAGGTTTTGCTGTGGAAAATCTGTCAGGCTAAATTCAGTGCAAATAACTTGTGGTACTTAGTAAGTAAAAGATTAAGTCGAAGTTAAAAGTGTCTTTATAATTACAATAATTTTGGCTTTATGTGATAGGAATTCGACATTTGCATTTCACTGTACCGTAATCTATGTCACAAAGCGACTTAAAGTTATTGGTTAACGCTTCCCTTTTTCTTTTTTAAGGCATTACGAGGTATGGCAGTTGTGCTTATACTATAATAAGAGTAGATCATCTGATTGGTATAATTAATTCACCGTAATGTGTTGTCATCTTATAGTTGTTGTTTGCTGATTTTATTGATTGTAGTTCCAATTAGAAATGGCAATTGAAATTAAGCGAAACAAGATACTACCGTATTATTATTATGCTTTATTATATCGTCGTCATCACTGCATAAAATTGTAATATAACATCTATTTTCTTACTCACATATTATAAATCTTCGTCACAACTTTGCACCAAATTATAGTCATCATCCGTTTAGCACTGTTAAAAACAATTGCCTGGAGATTATCAACCGTCCAAACATAAAATTTTTTGTTGTTTGTCTCGCACGTTCGTGTAAGTTTTATGCTTAAGTGTTCTATTAAATATGAAATAGGAATAAAACTGTCAAAATAGAATAGAGTACATAGTTTTGTGTTTAGAAAAACTTTACATAATTTTTTTTCATTAATTACGAAGATTTTATTTACCTCTGGATTAAAGTTTGAATATCTTATTGGTTAAAACATGATACTGAATCATACGCACTTTAGGAAAAAAAATAAAAAGACACGAGTACTTATGTAAGTTGCTAAAAAATATCTAACCGAAGATTCAATTTAAAGAAAGGACCCACATTTAAAAACACATAACGTAATAAAAATAGCTCCATGTCAGAGACTCTAGAAGTGGGGATTTACCATTAGAACGTAAAAGAAAGAGGACTAGGAGTACACTACAGAGTTAACAGTGATTCAGACAAACATAGTAAAATCGGAAATATATCTGAAAGAGCGAAAAAATGAGTAGAATTAGACATTATTTTGAACCACACCAAGATCAGGGAATAAAAACTTTGCAAGACACTTCAATGAAGATAATGACGGTAGATACGAGGAAGATGCTCAGTGTCGAGAGAATGAAAAAGTGAGTTCCAAATAGGTTCTTGTTTCACTATGTGACTAGGCGTTTTACCATCCCTACAGCAACAGTAAGAATTTTTGTGGTTTTTGAAAAAATAATAAAAATAAAAAGTCATAGTTGAAATAAGGCGAAAACAATTGCTTTACATGCCCAAGTAACAAAAATCAAAACGCCCTACTAAAGTATTTGCTCAATCAACTATTAAACTATTAGATGAAACTC